ACTTCAGATGTTCAAGTTTGTTATATTAAATGGAATAATATTTGCATATAGCATATATATCCTCCTGTATACTTTGTCATCTCTAAATTACTTCTAATACTTAATACAATGTAAATGCTATATAAATAGTTGTTAAACTTTTTTTCTTTGCATTATTTTCATTTGTTGTATTGTTATTTTTCTGAATATTTCTGACTCATGGTTGGTTGAATCTGTGGATGCAGAAACCACAGAGATAGAAGGCCTAACAACATAGAGGCTAACATGGATGTACCTAACACAGATCCAACATATATAAAGCAAACACTGAAAGAAATGGAGGAAGAAATAGACAATTCAGCAGTCATGCAAAAAGTTTCAGCAAAGAAATAGAAGACCTAAACAACACCTAGGCATAATAGACATGTATAGAACTCTAAATAGCAATAGCAGGATACATATGCAGATGGAGCATTCTCTAGGGTAGATCATATGGCAGCCCATTTTTTAAAAACTTAATAAATTTTTAAAAATTAAAATAATAAAAATTATGTCTTCTCTTCACAATGGAATGAGAAGAGAAATCAGTAACAAAAAGAAATTTGGGGTATTCACAACCATATAGAACAACCTACTCCTAAGTATTCAATGTGTTAAAGATTAAATAAAATCATCAAAACATACTTTGACAGTCTGGGCAACAAAGTGAGACCCCATCTCCACAAAAAAAAAATTATAGCCAGGCATGGTGGCACACACCTGTAATCCTAACGACTCCGGAAAATCTCTGAGCTCAGAAGTTAGAAGCTTCAGTGAGCTGTGATTATACCACTGTACTGCAGCCTGGGTGTCTCCCAAGTGAGACCTGGTCTTGAGGTTTAAAAAAAAATTCTTTTTTTGGTAAGAGAAAATGAAGATAATACATGCTAAAACTTACAGAAGGAAGCTAAAGCAGTGCTTAGTGGGAAATTTGTAGCTGTAATTGCTGAAATTAAAAAAGCAAGAAACATCCGAAATCAGTAGCCCAATCTTCCACCTTAAGACACATAAAAAGAAGAGCAAACTAAATCCGAAGCAAGCAGAAAGGAGGGAAATAACAAAGATTAGAAATTAATCAAGTATGGAATATGAAAACAAAAGAAATCAATGAACCCAAAAGATTATTCTTTTGAGAAGATCAACAGATTGACAAACCTTGAGTAGTCTGACCAGGAAAAAAGAAGACTCAAATTGATAAAATCAAGAATGAAAGAAAGGACATTACTACTGACCTTACAGAATTAGAAAGAATCTTTAGGGAATACCATGAACAACTGTATATCAACATACAGTTTTGTTGTTATTCATGTTAGATAACTTATATGAATAAAGACATTCCAAGAAAGACACAAACTACTAGAAAGTACTCAAGAAATACAACTTCTGAATAGACAAGAAATTGAGCTACTACTATTACCACCACCACCACCACTACTGCTCCTTTTTTTTTTTTTTTTTGAGACAGAGTCTCACTGTGTCACCAGGCTGGAGTGCAGTGGTGCAATCTCTGCTCATTGCAACCTGTGCCTCCCAGGTTCAAGCGATTCTCCTGCCTCAGCCGTCTGAGTAGCTGGGACTACAGGCACATGCCACCATGCCCAGCTAATTTTTGTATTTTTAGTAGAGACAATATTTGACTATGTTGGTCAGGATGGTCTCGATCTCTACATCTCATGATCTACCTGCTTTGGCCTCCCAAAGTGCTGGGATTACAGCGTGAGCCACCGTGGCTGGTCCAGATCATTATCTCTTATTAATATAAATGCACAATTCTCGACAACATTCTATCAAACCAAATCCAGCAACAAATAAAAATAATTATATGCCATGGCCAAATGGAATCTATCCCAGTAGTGCAAGATTGGTTTACCAACCAAAAGTCAATTTAATGTACCATATCAGCAGAATAAATAACACAAAGTGTATGATCCTCCCAATAGATGTAGAAAAACAGCGTTTTCCAAAATTCAACTTCTTCATGATAATACTCAATAAAGTAGGAGTGGCTGTGAACTTCTTAACCTGATAAAGGCATCTGTGGAAAAACCAAGAGCTAACATAATGCTTAATGGTTAAAGACCGAATGCTTTCCCCCTAAAATCAGGAACATGGACAAAATATCCACTTTCCCACTTTATTCAACATTGTAGGCAAGAAAAGGACACAAAATGCCTCAGATTGAAAAGGAAGAAGAATTCTATCTAAAGATGACATGATCTTGTAAATAGAAAGTCCTAAGAAATCTACTCAGAAACTACTAGAACTAATACGTAAGTTCAGTAAAATTAGTTAAGAGTAACATACAAAAATCAATTGTATTTCTATACATTTGGAATAAACAATCTTAAAATGAAGTTAAAATCATTTAGGATCAACAGGAATAAAATTTTGGGGAATAAATTTAACAAAAGAAGTACAAAAATGTATACTCTAAAAACTATAAAACATTATTGAAAGAATGAAAGACCTAAATAAATGGAAAGACATCCTATGTTTATCGTTTGAAGGTAGCTGTGCTCACCACTGTATCACCCATGCATCCCCAAGTTCATAGAGTTTGCTGTTAAACTTAGTATACAACCCATAACAGCCCCCTCAAAATAAAATAACTTATTTTATAATGTCAAGTCTTTACCTTGGGCTGTTAGGTCAGTTCATCCCAGAAGTAGGAAGTAGATCACTTGATATTTTAGGTACGTCTCCTGAGATTTACAGTTACTTTTTCACAGTTTCCCAGTAAATGGGAAATAAAGCACTTCGTCCCAAGTAACAATAATTTATAAGTAGTTATTATTCCTGTTTTATAGATAAAGAACTGAAGCCTGGAGAGACTTAATTTGCTTAAGGAAGGACAGCTGTGGAGCCGTTGTGTAGTTCAGATCCATCAATTACAAAGCCCTGTTTCTTTTGACTATGCCATGTTGCATTTGAAACAGTAGTACATTAGATTTTTTAAATAATAGACTGGCCTCTTAGGTTTCAGAGTGGTTTTGTTCAGAGACCCTGTTTATCATATATTCCAATATTAAGAATTTGTGTTCAATTGTTAATGCCATAAGCATCTATTTTGTGTTTACTGCATGCAGGCACTATGATGAGTAAATAGTGATGAATGTATTAATCCTTACTTTAGCGGAGAAAGTAAGTATGCAAATAAACAATTGCAGTATAGCAGGATACCTGCAGTGCTGAAAGTCTTAAATAAGTACAATGGTAACATAGAAGAAAGTCATCAACTCTGCTGGAGTGGCTATAAAAGATGAGATGATTGAATTGGACACTCAAGGCTATGTAGGAGTTTGTCAGTTGATGTACCTGTGCCTCTTTCTGTGTCACGACTGACTGTGGAAACCATTTATGCATAAACATGAGTATTGGGTTTTTAAATAAATAATTATCTTAAGGTAGGAAAAAAAGTTCATTATTAGTTTGCAGGAATGCTGTGTTCCTTTACACCTTTTTAATAATTAGATTTGTGTTCAGATATAATTAAAACTTCTTGGCAAAATACAGAAGCCTGAGAAGGGAAATGCTTTTTGTTGACATGTGATTTGTAAACTGCATTGCAAAAACAACTACCTGTTAGAGTTCTTTAATTCTGTTGTATCTGCTCTTTGGAGTTTAAAGTTAAATGGACAAAGTAAAAGAAAAATTTTTGAGTTTATGAAGAATTTCATTTCTTAATCAAATTGTGGTAGACAACAATATACTTGGGAAATAAGCTTTTCAAAGTTTTCAGGAGAAGAGCTTTAAATTGCATTTGTGACTTTTCTAGTTGTTAATGGTTTTTCACACAGATATTGTGTTAATGTATCAGTGGTTTCTGATGAAAGTATAAAGCTTTTTAGCAACATTTATTTGGCAAAAAGTTTATTATCCTATAGGATTTTGAGCAGTTTCTAATTTGTATAGTTGTTACCTAAAGTAATGAATAATAAATAAGTTCTGAGTTTCTGAGTTTTAGAAGACATGTCTATTAGAGCCATATATCAACATAACTATTTTTGTATTTTTTTTTTTTTTAATTAACCAGCTCCCTTATTTCTTTCTTTCTTTCTTTTTTTTTTTTTTTGAGACGGAGTTTCGCTCTTGTTACCCAGGCTGGAGTGCAATGGCGCGATCTCGGCTCACCGCAACTTCCGCCTCCTGGGTTCAGGCAATTCTCCTGCCTCAGCCTCCTGAGTAGCTGGGATTACAGGCACGCGCCACCATGCCCAGCTAATTTTTTGTATTTTTAGTAGAGACAGGGTTTCACCAGGTTGACCAGGATGGTCTCGATCTCTCGACCTCGTGATCCACCCGCCTCGGCCTCCCCAAGTGCTGGGATTACAGGCTTGAGCCACCATGCCCGGCCTGTTTATTTCTTATGGTCACCTATTTCATGATCCCCCTTGGGAAAAATAGAGAAAAATGAAAGGGAAATGGGAATCTTCTACTTTTAGAATCTTTGATTTGACCAAGTTGTAATACATTTTTGGGCTAAATAAAAGACTATCTACTACCTAATATAAATTTTTGGAAGTGCATGTAGACATTTCTGGAAAATAGGGAATCTGTTTACAGGTGACTGGCAATTATTACAAATGAAAGGATGGGACTTTGTGTTTTGTTTTGGTTTTGTTTATTGTAGTGGCTGATGTTTTGGTACTCCAGAGTAGGTTAATTATGCATTACATGGTGATGGCAGAGGTTTCTGATATGCTGTATTTGAGAAAATGTATTCATATATATGCAGATTTTAACTATGGTTTTAATGACAATACTCTTTGCAAACTCATTTGATTATATTTAGGATAATCATTCTTTTGTGAAACTGTATGGCTATCTGAATCTAAATATCTCCATGAAGCTATATGCTAAACTGTGTAAATAGCAATATATTAAAATCAGTGCCTTATGGTGAATCCAAAGTGATTAAAAGGAAACACTGCTTTTCATTTATGAATACAAGTAAAAGAAAGACAAATATATTTCATTTTTAGATTATATAAATGGTGGAGAACTTTTTACTCATCTTTCTCAAAGAGAACGTTTCACAGAGCATGAGGTGCAGATTTATGTTGGAGAGATTGTGCTTGCCCTCGAACATCTCCACAAGGTAAGACACTTCATTTTTCAAGTTTCTTTTTTGAAGTCTGTTAACTAAGGTAATAATGGAGCTAGAAGAGCTAATGTTGTTACATGTTATTGTCTTAGTGGAGATTATGAAAGCACACTTAAAGAAGAAGATTACCAGTTTTCTCAATTTCGTAATTCTGTTTGAAAAAAAATCTACTTTTCAATTGTACTTGCTGTGATGCAGATTAAAAAGATAGAACCTAAGCAATTTTTGACCTTTTTTCAGAAAAAATTCGAATGCTTATTTGTTACAAAGTATCATTAAAATAAAGGCTTTTAATTATTAAAATTACCAGTAAAATGAAACCAACAGTCTTAATACGTATTTCCTTCATTCTAATTTACTGCATTGCAGACTCTGCCTGTACATCTTTAGCGTGTGTCCCGATGAGGTTGTAGAATAAGCGTTATTTTCCACTCTCCCACTCTGCCTTTCTTTCCATTTGTTTTGTCCCTGACACCATCTCTTGCTCCCACCCACTCTCTACTCCATTGTCCCCAGATAGGATGAACTCTTACTAAAAAACTTTACATAAAATTCATGTCTGTGACCCTATTTAAACTGTAACAATCAGTTTAAACTTTAAGAAATGTCATTGCAGGTTCGATGTGGAGGCTTATACCTGTAATCCCAGCACTTTGAGAGGCCAAGGCAGGCAGATCACCTGAGGTCAGGAGTTCAAGATCAGCTTGGCCAACATGAAGAAACCCTGTCTCTACTAAAAATACGAAAAATTAGCTGGGTGTGGTGGTGCACACCTGTAATCCCAGCTACTTGGGAGGCTGAGGCAGGAGAATCGCTTGAACCTGGGAGGTGGGGGTTGCAGTGAGCCAAGATCATGCCATTGCATTCCAGCCTGGGCAACAAGAGTGAAACTCCGTCTAAAAAAGAAAAAAAGTTATTGCAGATACCATTAATCTTGAGCCAAGAAATTTTGACTCCATTTTTTGTTTGTTTTACTTAATGAGGAAATACTGTAGATGCAGTCTTTCTGTAGGCTGGGCTCATGTTTTTCCTCAGAGACAGAAAGTACTCAGGTAATTTTTAAATTAGGACAATTCAGGTACATCATGAAGCCACCCTTCATTGTCATGTTGTAATCGGGTCCTACACTAATTTAAGATAGAGATCTAAGTGCTGATTATGGAGCATAGAAAAGAAAGCAGAGAATTGGAGGGAAAAGGAAGGATGATGAAATTTCTAAAGGGGCAGGCAGCAAGGTGGAGGTAACAGATGGGTGAGGCTGTGAGAATAAATGATAAAATGGAAGAAAAAAACAGATCAAGAAAAGGGCAGATCCAGCCCAGAGCAGAAGCAAGACCTGCTAGGTGATGGGAGATTGTTCAGGGTAAGAATCTTAAGGAGACTGAATGAAAAATGTATGAGAACAAGGAGAGAAAGAAACCTTTGGCAGCAATGGGTGGAGGGCAGGGCTGCAGCGCAATGGAGAGGAAAGGGAACGAGGTCCAGTAAAGTAGGCACTCAAACCGAGGTAGCGAAGCAGACACTTGGACTTCTTTTGATAGAAGTCTTGATACAATAACAAGCTTTAAGATGATTTTTATAGGATATAAGATAGTTAAGACATTTTCATATAAGAAACAGTTGGACCCAGGAATATGCTGCAAAGAAGGACCTTTGGAACTTATGATTTAGGGGAATTAGCTTATGATATAAAAATGATGATAGAAATCATTATAAATATGAGTAAAAAACAAAATGAATAGCTCCAGTGGGTAAGCTAGAAAGTCCAGTGTTGTGGTGCGATCTCGGCTCACTGCAGCCTCCACCGTCCCAGGCTCAGGTGATCCTCTCATGTCAACCTCCCGAGTAGCTGGGACCCAGGCACATGCCACCACACTTGGCCACGTTTTGTAGTTTTTAATAGAGATGAAAGGTTTTGCCATGTTGCCCAGGTTGGTGTTGAACTCCTAGTCTCAAGCAATCTGCCCGCCTCAGCCTCCCAGATTGTTGGGATTACAGGCGTGAGCCGCTGTGCTTGTCTGAAAATCCAGTTTTTAATTTATGTGAAACTTGCCCATAGTCAAACACAGAAGTAAAGAAAACAATGAATATTGGGTATAACTGTAACTGATATGGAATGGGAGTAATATAGCAAATGAGATCTCAGTTAACCTTCTCTTAACCTTACTAAAAAGATACAGATAATTATAATGCAAAGCCAGCAATGTTAATCTTGAAAAGCTACTAACATTAGGTTTCACAGGAAGAGGCAAAAATGGATGTTTACTTGCAAGTAATGAGGTGACACAGATAGTAAATTACTTGTTCCTAAAATGTTTTCCAAAGAGGTTTTTTTTTAGGTAAAAGCATCTCCTGGTTGTTAGATGCATGTAATGCTTGAAGTCAATGTCCCTTCTCTAGATATTTTCCTTCCTGTATGTCTTAGAGGACATACAGGAAGGAAAATTGCTGAGGCTCTTAGAGGAAATTGCTTGGTGCTTTTGTGTTTTGTTTTGTTTTGTTGATACCGGGTCTCAGTCCATTGCCTAGGCTGGAGTGCAGGGGCATGATCACAGCTCCAAACCTACTGGGCTGAGGTGATCCTCCTACTTCAGCCTCCCGAGTAGCCAGGACAACAGACATGCGCCACCACACCTGGCTAATTTTTGTATTTTTTGTAGAGATGGAGTTTTGCCATGTTGCCCAGGCTAGTTTTGAACTCCTGAGCTCAAATGATCTTCCCACCTTGGCTTCCCAAAATGCTGGAATTACAGGTGTGGGCCACCTGTGCCTGTCCTCCCGCTTTTTTTATTCTGTTTTTAAAAAATAGAGACAGGGTCTCACTCTGTTGCCCAGGCTGGAATGCTATCATAGGTCACTGTGGCCTCAAACACCCTGGTCTCAAGTGATCCTCCTGCCTAAGTCTCCCAGGTAGCTCTAGGACTACATGTGTGCCAGTTTTTTTGTAGAGATGGGTCTCACTGTGTTGCCCAGGCTGGTCTTGAGCTCCTGGATTCAAGTGACCCTCCTGCCTCAGCCTTCCAGAGTACTCAGATTACAGGCGTGAGACACTGTGCCTGGCCCCTAGAGTTTTCCTGTATGTAATTTTGTTTTTCACCTTCCAAAGTACTCCGATTATAGGCATGAGACACTGTGCCTGGCCCCTCGTGTTTTCTGTATGTATAATTTTGTTTTTCCTTTTAAGAGTTTATTAAGAACTGTCTCATATTCTTAGTGTTGAGGAAAACAACATTTCTAAGTTTAGAAACATTTAATTCAGGCCAATGTAACTAAAAACATGAAAAGTAGAATTCATGCAGATCAAGCACCTCTTGTATGAGTTGGATAGATTTGTTATATAGCTGACGTGTTTTGCTGTAGAACTTACAAAAAAGTAAGTTTTATAAATGCAGAGTAAAATAGAGTAAATGTTACTTAACTGATTGACTTTGCTTATTTAGAACTAAAGTTTGGGCTGGGCGCGGTGGCTCAAGCTTGTAATCCCAGCACTTTGGGAGACCGAGGCGGGTGGATCACGAGGTCGAGAGATCGAGACCATCCTGGTCAACATGGTGAAACCCAGTCTCTACTAAAAATACAAAAAATTAGCTGGGCATGGTGGCGCGTGCCTGTAATCCCAGCTACTCAGGAGGCTGAGGCAGGAGAATTGCCTGAACCCAGGAGGCGGAGGTTGCGGTGAGCCGAGATGGCGCCATTGCACTGCAGCCTGGGTAACAAGAGCGAAACTCCGTCTCAAAAAAAAAAAAAAAAAAAATTAAAAAAAAAAAATTAGAACTAAAGTTTGAGCCTAGTACAGTGGCTCACACCTGTAATCCTAGCTACTCTGGAGGCTGAGGCAGGAGGATAGCTTTAGCCCAGAAGTTTGAGGCTGCAGTGAGCTAGGATCATGCCACTGCATGCCAGCCTGAGTGACCAAGTGAGACCCTATCTCAAAACAAAAAAGAACTAGAGTGAAATTAACCTATGATCTTCAACCTTTATGTTTAAGAGCCTGTTAATCAACAATTATTTATCAATTACCTATTTTATACATGGTGTGCTGCACAAATATTGGATATATACATAAAATGTGAAAAACAGAGTTAGTATAAGTATATAAAGACAAATAGGATATACCTAGAAAATATCAGTCATATATAGGTAAGTATAATATAAACCAGGCGTCCCCAAACTACAGCCCATGGGCTGCATGCGGCCCCCTGAGGCCATTTATCCGGCCCCCCGCCGCACTTCAGGAAGGGGCATCTCTTTCATTGGTGGTCAGTGAGAGGAGCACAGTATGTGGCGGCCCTCCAGCGGTCTGAGGGACAGTGAACTGGGCCCCTGTGTAAAAAGTTTGGGGACACCTAATAGAAACATAGGTGTTGTAGGATGAAAAACAAAGAAATGACCAGGGTGGGATCTGGTTAGTCAGAAAAGCCTTCTGAAACCATTAGGAAGTGATGGACAAGAATTGGCCACGAAAACACTTGAAGGTCATCTAGAGTGAGGGTGAAATAGGAAGAGTAGAGACATAAAGAAGCACTAGTCAAGAGGGAGGCCCTAAAGAAGCTGACCCAACAAGGTAGACCCTGTGCACGAGGAGAACTAAGACATGGTTAGAGAGGTCTGAGGAATGCAGCAGGTAAAAGAATTTACATTTGCCCTGACCAGTCACCAAGGGCCACCACAGGATCCTGAGGAGGGAAATACCTTTAAAAAAAAAAAAAAAATGGTAGATTAGAAAGACTGTCCTAATTCATTTTTTTGTAAATTGTTTTAAAATTCCTGTTTGTTTGTTTTTGCAGTTGGGGATTATATATCGTGACATTAAGCTTGAGAATATTCTACTTGATTCTAATGGCCATGTGGTGCTGACAGATTTTGGTCTGAGTAAGGAGTTTGTGGCTGATGAAGTGAGTATGATATTTTAATTTGAAGTTAATAATAACACAATGTAAACAAGGATGACAACTTAGCTGCAGAATAAACATTTAGTAGAAAACTGCCATATGAATTTGAACTTTTGTGCAGGGTTTGCCCAGGGGAACATTTTGACATGAAAATATAGAGATTTTTAGTTTAGAATTAATAGGGGACCATCCTGTTAAAAATACTGTAAACCTTGATGGATATATCAGAATTCCTATTTATTAAAAAAAAAAAAAGCACTGTGCTTTTAACTTTCCCCATGAAATATATAAAATGTAACTGAAAAATTAAATAACTCTTTTGCCCTTGAGGAGAATTATGGTTTTAATGATGGCCAATAAAGAATCACAAAGCTGGCCAGGCACAGTGGCTTATGCCTGTAATCCCAGCACTTTGGGAGGCCGAGGTGCGTAGATCCCCTGAGGCCAGGAGTTCAAGACCAGCCTTACCAACATGGAGAAACCCTGTCTCTATTAAAAATACAAAATTAGCCAGGCATGGTGGCTCACACCTGTAATCCCAGCACTTTGGGAGGCCAAGGTGGATAGATCACCTGAGGCTGGGAGTTCAAGACCAGCCTTACCAACATGGAGAAACCCTGTCTCTACTAAAAATACAAAATTAGCCAGGTATGGTGACGCATGCCGGTAATCCCAGCTACTTGGGAGGCTGAGGCAGGAGAATCGCTTGAACCCAGGAAGCAGAGGTTGCAGTGAGCCAAGATCGTGCCATTGCACTCCAGTCTGGGCAACAAGAGAACCCCATCTCAAAAAAAAAAATTCGCAACGCAAAGTACATACAGTTTACATTACAATAGCAAAGCAGGACATGCTATGAAGACCCTTTGAATTCTCTTGACAGGAAAGAGAGATCTGCCAGAGCAAATAAATAATATTGCTGGTTTTTGCTCAATATGAATTAAAATGTCATGGCTAATATGCAAATTTTACGTATGGAGGACTTTAATTTTTGGTATTAATTAGAATTTGTTTAATATTACAAAAGCATTTAATGACACTTAAAATTGTACATCTATAAGTTGTAGTTAAATACTGTTTATGTAGTGGTTGTAATAGAAGTTACATTTATTTCTACACTACTAGTTACTCAAGATAACTAAGTAAATTTGAATGTCAGTTTCATTTCTATCCAGGAAATTGTTGGTATAGAATATGGAATTGTAGTAATATTTTTGTAGTGAAGGACTTTGTTGTTATAAAATATATCATTTTTGGATTCCAAGTTAGGTGTATCTATTTCTGATTGGTTTTTGGAGTATTGCTAAAGCAGTCCTAGGTGAGTGAGATAAGTGCTGAAATTATAAAAATTAAAGGTTCTAATTTTTTAATCATATGTATATTCATTTTACTTATACAATAAATATTTATTGATCACCTCTACTATGCTGGGTACTGGGCAATACAATAATAAATGAAATGGAAATGATCTCTGCCTTCATGAAGCTGTAGTTACTGCAGTAAATTGATTATCTTTGATACAAATATAGTTATAAAATAGATTAAATGAATTTTGAGGAGTTTACTTCTAAATTTGATTCTTAAAACTTTTTATGCCTTTGTAAAATTTTAGTGGCAACTTCAATAAATTGTAGCAGATTAAATCTGTTTACTGTTGCCTCCTTAATAAATCCCACAAGAATAAAAGGAAAGGAATAAAATAGACATGCACTCAAAAGGGAAAAGAGAAAACAGCAACCACATTTTAGAAGACGGACAACAGTAACATGCATGGGAAGCCTAAAAGCGGCTCTGTGTACTTCTGACCCCCTTGAAAGGTTCAAGAATTGGAGTCAGGAGTTATCTCTCAAAGTAGGAATGCAGGTGATGCAGGACCCAGAAGGATTGATTGAAAGTCTGTGTAAGAAACGGGTAACCCCCAGATCCTATCTCTGCCCCTGTTCATATAGGCAGCTGTGCCTTCCTTATCCTAAGGGAAGACTATAAAGGTCTGTGCATTCAGGGACAATGGGCACAGCTAAGGGTGAGGATACCATACAGAAAATGACAGGTATGGTGAAAATGGACACACACAACTGTGAAAACTCCCTTAGCCGCTTTCTACCACTTCACTCTGAACACAATGGCTTCCCAGGTAGGAGTTCGGAGGGTTTTTTTCTGAGAAATCAAGAACAAAAAAGCTACAGATGACATCAGTAGTTTTGCCTCTGAACTGGCCCAGCCAGATCTCTCTATAGAACAGCCTGGGACTTGGCAGGCCCAGCCTGTACCATAGAAGTGTGTTTGTGATGATCTCTCAATTTAAAAAAATAATATTGTAACTGTATTTCAATGTCATTAATTTCCTCCACAATACTATCTGTTTTAAAATACTATTTTGCAAAGGGGTCCACAGGCTTCAATAGAGTTCCAAAGGGGTCCTTAGTCTGTAAATGTGTAAAATTCCCCCTGGATAGAGAGATTTGATGATCACTTTCATTTGCTCATTCACTCCATTGATATTTGTTGAGGGCCTTCTATGTGCCAGATCAGCGGTCCCCAACTTTTTTGGAACCAGGGACTGGTTTCCTAGGAGACAATTTTCCCACAGACTGAGGTGGGGATATGGTTTCAAGATTATTCAAATAATTTCAAGATTATTCATTTATCATTAGATTTTCATAAGGAACATGCAACCTAGACCCCTTGCATGTACACTTCACAATAGGGTTGGCACTCCTAGGAGAATCTAATGCCACTGCTATCTGACAAGAGATGGAGGTCAGGTGGCAATACTTGTCTGTCACCTCCTGCTGTGTGCCCTGGTTCCTAACAGGGGTTAGGGGCCTCTGTGTTAGATGGTAGAGTAGGTTCTGGTAGTATACTAATGAAAATAATCACTTAATGAATCCTCTGTTGGAAAGTATGTGTGGCTGATCATTTGGCGTGGCTGATCACTTGGCAATAGATAGAAATAGACTTTGGCCCTGGGAAACAGCAAATGTTAGGACCCAAAACTAAACAAACAAATAAAAATCAAAGTTAACCAGAGTTGTTAGGTCTTAATACAGTAATAAACATTAGTGTGTGAAATGCTGTGTGAGAAGAGGAGAGTTTTCTGCTTCTTGTGTCAACAGCCTCCCCTCAAGGGGATGATGGGGATCCAGTAAGATACTATTGTCTTTGAGCACTTAGTGGTTGGGTACAAAAATGAAATGATAGAGTTCAAGCTGAAGTAGAGGAGTAATTGATAGGCGCCCTTATTTACTGAATACAGCCTTGCTCTAGGTTATGTTAATAGTTTAACATTACTATTAAGCCTAAGGGGTTGCATGTCTCTTTGATCCTTAGACTGCCTGCTCCTTCTTCCTCTTAGCCCTAGAGGACATACTGTCATGTTAGGCTTCAGGTTTAATTCTCAGGGCTCAGGTAGGAATTTTCCTTTGCTGAGTCCTTTGTTAAAACTTGATCTAATGGTTCTTTGCTCTTCTGATTCCACCCAGTACCTGTTTAGGAAGTTTCTCTACCTAGACCCTTTCTACCTTAAAAATATTCCCATGAGATCATTTGTTTTGATTAGATAGCATTCCTTTTTGGTTTCATATGTCAGCTCCAACTCAGCAAAATATATTTTTTTGGAACAAGGTTCTTTCTGCTCCATCCCATCTCTGCCTTCTTGGTTTCCAGGTTAAATATGTATCTTTATGATACGGTTTTACTGTGTCTCCACCCAAATCTCATCTTGAATTCCCACATGTTATGGGAGGGCCCTGGTGGGAGGTAATTGAATCATGGAGGCAGATTTTTCCCATGCTCTTCTTGTGATAGTGAATAAGTTTTATGAGATCTGATGGTTTTAAAAATGGGAGTTTCCCTGCACAAGTTCTCTCTCTCTCTCTTTGCCTGCTGCCATCCATGTAAGACATGACTTGCTTCTCCTTGCCTTCCACCATGATTGTGAGACCTCCCCAGCCACATGGAACTGTAAGTCTGTTAAATCTCTTTATTTTGTAAATTGCCTAGTCTTAGATATGTCTTTATGAGCAGTATGAGAATGGAATAATATAGCAATTATTACCACAAATGGGATGCTACTGAAAAGATATCTGAAAATGTGGAAGCCAGTTTGGAACTGGGTAACAGGCAGAGATTGTAACAGTTTGGAGGGCTCAGAAGAAGATAGGGACATGTGGGAAAGTTTGGAACTTCCTAGAGACATGTTGAATACCTTTGACCAAAATGCTGATAATGATATGTACAATGAATCCAGCCTGAGGTGGTCTCAGATGGAATGAGGAACTTGTTGGGGACTGGAACAAAAGTGACTTGTTATGTTGTAGCAAAGGGACTGGTGGCATTTTGCCCCTACCCTAGAGATTTGTGGAATTTTGAAATTGAGAGAGATTATTTAGGGTATCTGGCAGAAGAAATTTCTAAGCAGCGAAGCATTCAAGAGGTGACTTGGGTCCTATTAAAGTCATTCAGTTTTAAAAGAGAAACAGAGCATAAAAGTTTGAAAAATTTGCAGCCTGACAATTCAATAGAAAAGAACATCTTGTTTTCTGAGGAGAAATTCAAGCCAGCTGCAGAAATTTGCGTAAGTAATGAGGAGCTGAATGTTAATCACCATGCCAATGGGGAAATTGGCTCCAGGCCATGTCAGAAGCCTTTGTGGCAGCCCCTCCTCTCATAGGCCTGGAGGTTTAGGAAGAAAAAATGGTTTCCTGAGCTAGTCACAAGGTTCCTTTGCTATATGCAGTCCAGGGACTTGGTGCCCTATGTCCCAGCTGCTCCAGCCATGACTAAAAGGGGCCAAGGTACAGCTCAGGCTGTTGCTTCAGAGGATGGAAGCCTTGGCAACTTGCATGTGGAATTGAGCCTTTAGGTGCACAGAAAAGTCAATAATTGAGGTTTGGGAACCTCGCCTAAATTTCAAAGGATGTGTGGAAACACCTGGATGCCCAGGCAGAAGTTTGCTGCAAGGATGGGGCCCTCATGGAAATCCTCTGCTAGGGCAATGTGGAAAG